CTTGCAAAATGTGCATGTGAGTCCCGGGATGCTGCACTAAGATAGCAGAAAACAAAAGATAAAAGCAATAGCAAAAAGCACATTTTACTCTGTCGCAAATTACAAAAAAGAAAATTAAAAGTACAAGGACAAAAATATAAAACTCAGTTTAGCACAGCAGCTAATGATTCAGTAGGAAACTGGCATGCTAATGAAAATAATTGCAGCCTTCTAAAGCGAAAACAATGACAGAAAACAAAAACAAGAAAGAAAAAGGCCCGCCCAAACAACCTGGAGTCCACAAAGCAAAACACTCAACCCCCAGCCCAACAACGATTCACTTGGAAGGCTCGACTCGAGAAAAATATAAGAAACGGGCTGGTCCGCGCGTTACACAGGCCTAAACAAGGACCGCGCGTTACACAGGTCAAAAAAAAAACAAGGACATGCACACCAGCGTGAATCTTGAAGCGAACAAAACATCCAATGGCTAGCAAGTCGACTGAGACTTACTGGTTTTTAGCAGCTCCATTCTAAATATTGTATAGAATATAAATTTAATCTTTAAGATTGTAAGATTGTTTTTCCAGAAATACAAAGACAAAATCTTAACAGAAAAAGTTAAACATATCACAATAAAATATGATAGGTTTTAAAATCCATTTATAACACACTAGTGCATGTTGCATGGTAGGTCGACACTTATAATAATTTTTAAAATCCAACAGCATCTTCTTCAAAAATGATTATAATAATTTTGATGATGTGAAAACACAAATACAGCAAAATACCATTTGATGATTATATGTAGATCTGCTCACGAAAGATTCCCTGCAACTAGCACTACGTGTCTTATCTCAAGAAACAAAAAACTAGAACTACGTGCCACCCATGTAACGCGTCACAGCCTCACTGATCAATGACCACTACGGCTAGACTGATCAATGCATGCATGCCGTCCCTGGCCCAGCTGCATTAGTGTGTACGAGCTAGGTTCAGAGCAGCGAGATTGCGTTTGGATCTTCGGTGTAAGCCGGCCTACATCAAATCCGTATGTATATGCAGCAGGCAGAAGCACGAGGCGAGGAATTGTTGGGCTCAAGGACACACCTAGCTGCTTTGCTTCATGTTAAACGGACTTTAGGCATGCAATCTTCATGCTTGGCCATGTGCATAATGAAAGCGTGAAACAACTCATTTGCTGGGTCCTATAAATTGAGTCGGTGCCAGTCCAGTGATAAGGTTCATCCAAGTAGTCATATGAAAGATGACATGTTGCAAGAAAAAAAAAGACGACATGTTTATATGTGTCGTATGTGAGTTAAGATATTAGAGGACAACCGATATGTCACACCAAATCCACTCATACAACCTTGAACGTATTACTCCTCCATCGGGTTACTGTTGTGATGGATGTGTCTCTGTCACCGCTAAGGCAGGTCAACGAGCCGGCAACTGTATACCTCATGGCAGTCGTATTGAAGTTGCCATCGTCGATGAAGTATGATGTGTGGCAATAGGAGAAATTGTTATCGCCGAGCTTAGAAACTAACGATGATAGCGCACTGGTACCAAGCCCGCGCCAGACATGCCCATGGTACAGTTCTAGCCATGAGCAAACTCCCACAGCCAATTGCTCTTGACATCATAAACCTGGGATGTTGGAATATATGAATTCAAAGAAATGGAAAAGATTTTAGGCAGGAAACCCAAAATATGGATTCATGGAAGTTCCTTTTGAAACAAGAGCTCTCTTTGTTGGAACAGAGTAAGCAGAAGAACATGGGAGTGCTAAAAGATTGGATTGCTTCCAACCTTTAGAATAAGTCTAGTCTAAATTTCTTTATGATGATTCCAAAAACTGACATTGGTTAGAAGAGTATGATGAGCGTGGTCTTGCCCGCGATGTGGTAGCGCGAGGGAAGCCCTGACTAAGAGAGACTACGTACGCACCTTCGGTGTAAGGTTAACTCCCTCATTTGTGAGAGAGTCTCCCAAAAAATAGTGTGTGCACGTACAAAAACGATCACAAAGAGAATAGTGTGGGGGGGGGGGCAAATTGCGAGATCACCGAAGGGAAGCCTGTCACCCCATTTGTCTACTATTCTCTTTTCTAGTACCTGCTCGACAATATTGATATACTTCATAGTTGCTTTGCCACCACGATAATTCAAAGATAAATAAATCCATCAACATTCTAAATTTCCCTTTGCAAATGACATAGTTCAAATTCAAATTAAAATTCTGAACATGCTAAGCATCAGACGACGTACAAAAACGATCACAAATTCTAGGGTGTGGTTCATGGCATCATCACAAAACCTAATGCATAGTTTATGACGCCACCATGATCATGCCCTGGAGCAGCTCTAACTGGCTAAGCTTCTTGACCGCAGTTGCAAGCTCACACACTGCTCATCCTAAGCCAACGTACTTCAAAGACCTTGTTCGTGCATATGTGGTGGGCAGTAGTAGCACGAAGAGGGGAGTCAATGGAGCACAAAGACATGTACACAACCTAATAAAACCCCCCATAGTTTTACCCATAGAAATAAAAAGTTCCCCATTCTTCCTACTCACACCGACTCCCTCAATCGCTGCATAGTCCATACACAACCATTCAAGAAGAAAAATGGCGAACAACATTTTCCCCAAATTCTAAGTACGTTATGAACATTTTTCAAAGATGTGACTGGCATTTATCTAATATGTGATTCAAATACAGACATTTTTTATTGTGATTAATATTTTTCAAATATATAATTAATGTTTTTCAAAATACGTGATAGGCATTCTTCAAATATGTGATGAACATTTTGAAATACAATGTAAATACTTTCTTCAAATATGTAACAATCCTTTTTTTCAAATTTGTGGTGAATATTTTTATAATACAAACTTGAACATTTTTCATTTCATATATTTTTTTAACATTTTTTAGAACTGAATTTCACTTTTTTAATCTACAAAGTAAAGAGTTCCAAGGAAAATGGATCTGGGTCCGGCCCATTAGCTCTTGCATGTCCCATACCACTTACTCAAGAAAAAAAAAACTATCCCACACCATACGCGTGAAACAAAGATCTTGTTAAGAACTATACGATACCCCACATGTTATCGTAGAATTAATGATTTGATTGTAAATACTATATGGAGTATAAATTCAACCCTTGATATTAAATACTCCCTCCGTCCCATAGTATAAGAACGTTTTTGACACTACACTAGTGTCAAAAACGTTCTTATATTATGGGACGGAGGGAGTATGTGAGGATTTTATTTAGAAACGCAAACACAAATATCCTAATATAAAAAGTTAAACATATCACAATAAAATATGCTAGGATTTAAAATTCACTTGCAATGCACTAAGCCATGTTGCATGGTAGATAGATACTCATGCCTAGGTTTGACGGGTGTTAGTGGACCAAGATAACAAATTCTTGGCTACAATAATTTTTATTTTTATTTTGAATCAATAAATTCCACCTTTTATCAAAAAATGCAATCCGGGCAGCAAACTTTTGTTTGGATCTTCGGTGTAACTGCATGCCCGCATACGCAGTTACGCGGTTGCTCATCTGAAGGCAGCCTACATCAAGTAAGTATGTATCATGTATGCAGCAGCCAGTAGCACGAGGAGATGAATCGGTTGAGCTCAAGGACATGCAACCTAGCTGCTTGCTTCAGGCTAACGGACTTTACGCATGCAACGTTCATGAATGGCCATTTACTTAAAGCATAATAAAAGCATGAATAACTCATTTGTTGGGCCTATAAATTGAGCTGGTGTCTAACCTCAGTCCACAGATAAGCTTTGCCCATGTAGTCATACAGGAAATGACGCTTTATCCGTGTCATCTATGAGTTACGATTTCTCGCCAAAAATAATAATATAAATTAGGATATTAGAAGACAACTGATATGTTACACTCTGTCCACTCGTATAACCTCGAATCTACGACTCGTCCGTCGAGTTATTGTTGGTAGGGGTGTATCGTCGATGAAGTGTGGCATGCGGCCGCAAGAGAACTTGCTATCGAGGAGCCAAGAAGCCAACCAGAAGCTCCGGTGGGTCGTGCGCGATAGGGAGACGTGGTAGTGGGCGAACTCCTCGCGGCAGCAATGGGAACTCCTTTGTTGCATTGGTTGCAGCACGCAGATTGGGTTATGTTGGCCAAATAAGTGTGTTAATAATAACTTTTTTTTTCATGTAATGTAATTAGCGCATACTCAGCCCGTTTCATGTGTTGTGCTGGTCGGTGTAACCAGGTAACTGCTGGCGGTTGCAGTCACCGGCTCACGCGCTGGCGCCGCTCGTCAGAAGCCGACCTACTGCATCAAGAGCCTAGTCCGTACGCACGGAGCAGGCAGCGCAGTGGTAGGACGAGTAAGGGGAATCAAATCGAGCTCAAGGACATGTACACACACCCCCATCTCGCTAAACACCCAGCAAAAGATTTTTCAACTGATTGTGCGTGCAAAACTGTAAATTCTGAACTTTCAGAACGGACGGGGCCTAACAGCAAGGCCACGAAACGGAGCGGAGCGGCAACGCATTGATCCGAAACTGTGCGAGACGTGATGCTTCGGGGTGCGCGGCGTGTAGAGTGTCACGGTCACGTCCGGCTCGGGCCCTCGAAAGGGGAGGGAGGCCACCGCGCGCGGGGTGTGCTGCCAAGCCATGGCCGCAAATCCCAACAAAGCGAGGGCAGAAAGGGCGTGGCGAAAGCAGGCCCCCTGTTCTCCTCCTCCCACTCCCATGTCCCACTGCCCTGCCTGCCTGCCCTCCTCATCTTTGACCCCCGCGCCACCACGGTCCAACCCAAAACACTGCCCACTCCGACCAGGAGTCCAAGAAACTCGCTCCGCCAAGACGGAAGCAACGCGCACGCCGCCACCCACAGCCAGCCAACACACACAAGCCCCTTCTCCGCCCAACCCGCCGCCAGCACTCGGACGCTTCCGTCCGGTAGCGGCGCTGGCCGGCGAGCCCGTGATCGCTTCCAGGCGCAGGCGCCATGATGGGCTCGCTGCCCCTGCTCTTCTCCCTGCTGGTGGTTTCTGGGGTCGGGGTCGGCGGCGGCGTGAGGCTGGCGGGCAATGGCGGGTACGAGGACTGGAGGCTGGGCACGGCGACCTACATCAAGGAGTCCCAGGGCCACCCGCTCAATGACGGTATGTATGTGCTCCTGTGTTCATATTTATCCTTTTTTTTAATTAGCAGCATCAAGAACATCAGGCAGGAAGGAAATGGAATGTCTGGCCTTTCCCTCTCCCTTTTGCCCCCCTTTCTTTCCTTGTGCATTTTCTCTGAATGGTGATTGGAGACGGTGAATGCTGTTTGCGAGGATGAGATGGTGTGGTCTTATTAGGCAGATCCGGCGTATTGGGCAGAGAAATGCCACCGGGAGGTCGCGATAGAGAGCAGATGTGAAGATTTGCTGTTGGAAGTTGTTCCCTTTTACTCTGCCACTCACTCAGAGATGCAGTTTGATCCTCGGAACTGAACATTCCATGGATGTTCTTCTGTAGATGATAGAAATATCCAGTATATTTCATTGTGATTTGTGAAAGGGTACAAAAGGGCTTCTTTGATAAATAATCATAGTGCGGTGTTGACGCTAATGCTGTCCTTACCATCAACATTTTCACTTAAAAAACTTCCTTTTGATGTGTTAGTGCACTACTACTATCCTAATCAGCCGAAAGAAAACCAATAATGGAGTACTAGAGCAGTAGTGCACCTTTTCCTTTTCTGTTTACTAAATATAAAGTGTCTGTAAACCAAATTCTTGACCTTTGCGTAAGAAGTGGGAGTAAGGCACATTGAATGCTTTGACAATCCAAACATGAGGGCCAGGCCAGTACAACATGGCCCCTTCTTGCTGTCATTGCCTGCACTCAAGTCAGTGTACCTTCACAGTAATTGCTCCACTGAAATCGGACCCCGTTGTCCCTTCCCACCTTCAGTGTACCTCCATGAAGATCCATCAAAATATACTCTCTGAATCCTGAAGACCGTATGCTCAATTTCCTTCATTTATTTCCATCTGTGCTCAGTGTCAATCCTTGCTCTCTTTCTTGTTACCTGAAGACGAAAACTTTTGTTGTCTGATGCAATGGCTGTTTGGAAACTCCAAAGGTGGCGGCGCTTGCGGGTACGGGGACCTGGACATATTCAGGTACGGGAGGTACACGGCCGGCTTGAGCGGCGCGCTGTTCGGGCGTGGCAGCGCCTGCGGCGGCTGCTACGAGCTCCGGTGCGTGAACAACATCCTCTATTGCCTGCGGGGCAGCCCCACCGTGGTCGTGACGGCGACCGACTTCTGTGCCCCCAACTTCGGCCTCGCCGACGACTACGGCGGCTGGTGCAACTTCCCCAAGGAGCACCTGGAGATGACCGAGGCCGCATTCCTCCGGGTCGCCAAGGCCAAGGCTGACATTGTCCAGGTGCAGTTCCGAAGGTAACAAACAGTTCTTGATGCAAAAATGATCTCTCTTTTTTCTGAATATACATATATGTGCAAAAGTTTGGCACTATCGTTCTTGAGTTGAGCATCTGTTGTAGTTAAAAGTATGACACTATCGTTCTTGAGTTGTGCATCTGGAGTAGTTCAAAGTATGGCACTATCGTTCTTGAGTTGTGCATCTGGTGTAGTTTTTTAGCCTGCTTTTGCAGAAGTTCAGAATGATGTCTGAATTCTGATGATTGCAAATGGATCATAGAATATGTGGAACATGTCTGAAGCCACTTTGCATTGTGGACTGCTGGGTAGAAAGTATAGGGCTGATGAGAGGGTGCTGAGGAAACGGCAGCTTTAATCACCGACGCTTTCTTCTTTTCTGAATCTGACTTGCGTATGCTAATCATGAGTACTTCCCACAGTTTCAGTCCAATGCTATGATCATGTCCCAACAGTAGTAAACACCAAGTATCCTTTATAGTGCAGGATAGGATTAAGATGAGTGTCCAGTTTGATCAGCATGCGTGAATCACGCAGCATCTGATCGTGACTAACCATTGACGATGGTGATGCAGGGTGAGCTGTGACAGGGCCGGCGGCATTCGGTTCACCATCACCGGCGGCCCCAACTTCCTCCAGGTGCTGATCACCAACGTGGCAGCAGACGGCGAGGTCGACGCCGTGAAGGTGAAGGGGTCGAAGACGGGGTGGATACCGATGGGGAGGAACTGGGGGCAGAACTGGCAGTGCGACGCGGACCTCCGAGGCCAGCCTCTGTCGTTCGAGGTCACCGGAGGAAAGGGCAGGACGATCACAATGTATAACGTCGCGCCTTCGGACTGGATGTTTGCGCAAACGTTTGCAGGCAAGCAGTTCGTCGAGTAGGTGAAAGAGGGTTGCAAGCTCCAACGACTGTAATTACAACTAAAAGGGTTACTAAAATGCCGTGACCCAAGAACGTGAATGGTTTTCGCTCTGCCCGCCACGCACGTCCAACATGATTATTGAACTTTAGGGCGCAGTTATCTGCAAGTTTCCTGAATAAACCACGTCAGTCTATTTCCCAGGGGGTTATCCTGCCTCTGCCCCGAAGCATCCCATTGTTAGATTGTGGAGCAAAATAAAGCCTCCTCAGGGCATTGGATTCTCGGCCGTCAGATTAGCTGTCCAAAATGATCCAGCCCGTCGGATCTCTGGCTGAAACGATCCAGGCCGTCGGATCTCTGGTTGCAAGCTTCAACGACTGTAATTACAACTAAAAGGGTTACTAAAATGTCGTGACCCAAGAACGTGAATGGTTTTCCCTCTGCCCGCCACACACGTCCAACAAACGCCACTTCCGCTTGCCCTGGTGGCCTTCATCCTCGTGACCAGTCGTGGCTGTCGGATCCCGAGGCCGGCAACGAAGGAGGTGGGCGGCCATCCCTTCCCATGCAGTGGTGGACGAAGGAGGTGCACGTATACAGCGAGGTCGACGTGCCTCCCCCCCGGATCCGTGTTGGCCCACGGTAATGGTCGTGCAGCAAGGGCGCCGTTGATCTCTCCTCGTCCGCAGCCTCCGCCCCCGCTCCCCTGCTTGGCGGCGCTCCTTACAGCCGCTGCCGCATCGTCTTCTACTCCTCGACCATCAACCGCAGGCCACCGCTCCATCCCTCGTCGACCCTCTGGACGAGCACCTGCCAGTGGTGGACGAGGATATCCAGCACGAACCACGCACCAAGAGGAGCTCAACTTCTGCTGCCTCTGCACGCCCCAGGTATAGCAGATCTACCTTTCTAAATATGTTTCAATAGAGTAGGCCGAACACCCACAGCTCATTCTTGCTTCTTAAATTGTGTTTTCCTCTCTAATGTTCTCTCTTTATGCTTCAATTGATTCAACTTAGATTTTTGCTTCCTATTGATTTGCAGGTTATACTAACTGAAATTCAGTTATCAGGAGTGTCACATATCTAGAAGCTGATTGGAGAGAGAAGGTGATGCAAAAAGAAAAAGTATATGCTTCCTATTACTTATTGGAAACATTATATCATTGTTATCTCATTAGGCTTATTGCTTCTCCTTTTGCTTCCAGTAATGTCATTTTTGCTTCTCACTTTGTAATAGTTATACTGCCGATAAGTTTATGTTGTGCGACTTTAGTATTTTGCCAGGTTAATCATATGTTTTTATCTTGCTGCCAGGTCAAGAACACAAAGAATGTCAATGTGTTCTGGTTTATTCCCACTGTTATTTGTTTTCTTACCAAAAGTGTTGTTTCTGAAGGGGAAAATGCATTGTTGTTCTTTGTGCAGGTTAGTTTGCACAAGGTGGGGGTAGTTCCAAGATATATAATGTTGTCAAAGATTTCAATCAAAGGCTTATGTTGTATACCAAAAGAATCCTAAAAAATAAATACAAGGTGGGTCCCATTGGAATATGTTGAGCCTTTCTATTATGATCTTATCTTTTGCATGAACATTTGATGCCTCAAGTGAAAATTGTCATAGAAAGCTTGGTGTTTTCTGCTTTTATTTTTCCTGATTTTAAAGGCGACCTAGATTCCTACTTAGGATTAGATGTGCTAGCCCAGACTCCAAGATATAGATATATCAGGTGTTCAAAGATACATATATGTGTTCACATTTAGAAGAAACGAGCCATTTAGAAGAAACCGAGCATGCAGTAATTAAATGGACTATAGATGGACCTAGAGCACGTAGTAAATGGCAGGCATGATTTTAAGTTTTTTTTTGTAAAAGTTGCTTACCTTAAATCATTGTATTGTGTTGTCCATTTCTGCTTATGTTGCAGTTAGTGTAAAATCTGCTTACATGCAGTTTTGCTAAAGTGGATGCCATTGTGTGCCACCACTATGCATCGGATCTCAAGGCTCGCTGGGGCGTCCACATCGTTCACTGCAGGGTCGGGGTCAGGGGTCTGAACATGAAGGTATCTCTTCTGTTTATGCTTGCAATTCTGATCTCAAGCGCTCAGTTTTCCTGGCTTTCATCACATTTATTGTATAGTTTTCCTCTTTTATATTCTTAGATTAGAGGCCTCTTGATCCATGGCACTGTCATGTGAATGCTCTGTCTTTTTAGTTACATAGATTCATTATTCAGGCCTCAGGCCATCTACTTGCTGGAATAGGCAAACAAGTGGAGGAGTGTAGACTATAGAAACTGGTCTTAGGCTGCAAAAATAGTGGGATAAACATCCATTGAGCACTATGTAACTTTGTGACCTATTCTTAGGTTTATGCTTGATTATTTGTGTAATTTTGGTTGCTCCCAACTCTGTTCTTAGCTGAACATTATTTATTAGAATTTATGGAAATTGGAGGACATATGTATATGTATAGTAAGCCTTTTATTTTCTGGTTGACATATGTATAGTATCATCAAGGTGCTTGTATATTTTTTCAATACATTGGATTATATTTTTCTGGGTGACATATGTACAGTATTGCTCCTTGGGTGAGCGCTTCCCCCTATGACCTCGACCCCCTGTCTTTGCGTCTCCACTGCGACAATGTCTTCTTATCTACATTGGCCTTAGTGCCCTATGTTTTTACGACATATTTTTGGATCCTGATGCAGTTATGGTATCTTCTATGAGATAATTTGGTTCGTCGTTTTGGTAGACCATTCTCTTAGTTGACCATTTGTTTGGGTTTTGGTTCTGGTTGGGATACTAAAGGCATAGGGTACTATGCATTTAGTAAAAGACCCTTCATAGACCATTATCTATGAAACTAAAATACACTTCATGTTTTGTATGCAGGAGTTGGTGTGTGCCTCCATTGCGGCTTAGGATGTTTATGATGGTTCTTTCTTTTTTATCTATATGGAGAGGGCATCTGGTTCTTGTTCTTAAGGTTAACCAATTTTTTTTATGTTGCGTGCTCATGCTGCTCTATGTTTTCTTTCTTGATCTGAATGGAGAGAGTGCCACTGGTTCTTGATCTTAAGGTGACCCAATTTTTTAATGTTGTGTGCTCATGCTGCTCTCTGTTTTCTTTTAATGCTTCTTGCTTGCTATTTTATTGTTGTTAGGAATGCAGAGTTAATTTAGTTTCCTACTATTTTGATCTGTCAAGTACATTTAGAACTTTGTAAGTTCTAATGTATCAACAAGAATCTGCGGATGCTTCTTTTATTCTTGGGTTCTTAAAAAAGCACAAAGGTGGTCCATCTTGAACTGTAATCTGTTCGATGCTGTCTTTCTAATTCCCTAGGAAATTATTAGTCATTTTGGTGTTTGGAGGTACACTGTCAAGGTGACTAATAAACTTTTTTCCTTTTACAATGTACAATGCATATATAAGTTAATATTATGTACTTTTGTGTCAGGAAAGTGTGCTTTTGCTTTGGTCTTGCTGTTGTTATGAGGTCCATTTGTAAAGAGCACGGTCCCATCCTTCCATTATCATGGTCCCATTCGGTAAATGAAGTTACTATAGTTGAGAGCATGGATATGGCCCTTCCAAAGCTCTATGCAGCACAGAACGGCGGGCACGGCGGAGCGGGACCGTTGGAGGACGCGTCGGCCTGCTGCTACGAGTAAGGTCCATACTGTGCTTTTAGTCTGACACCGCAAATTTGGTAGAATTTTCACCGCTACATGAACGTTTGCCTCGGGAATGGTCTCACTAAGTACCAGTAGAGTAGGTTAGGACTCGATTATGCCTGCGGGGACAGTGTACAGGGTTGACAATATCCACTATGTACAAGATTGATCAGTTTTGCCTAATTATTTAGTGGATATTTGCATCCGTGTACCACACTTCTGTATCCAAATTCCATGAATGAATCATCAAGTAGAAGAATTTTCTATGAGGTCCATGTTCATGAGATGTAGGGCAATTTCAACTGTCTGTTTAGGGAATGTACCAAAAATTCGTGTTACAATTGTCATGTGGGGCACGTCTTACAGACGTGGGCCGCGCGGCCAGGAGCAGCCGACGGCCGCATCAGGCAAGGCGCAGGCTGGACAGGAGTCCTGATCCGGGCACATTAGTTCCTAGACTAGTTTATTTCGTATAGGTTTCTAGTTTGTTATTAGCCCATGGGGCCTTTATATATCAGACAGTTAGCACCCTTTAGGGATAAGCAATAAAGTTATTATCTCCTACCTCTTCCTCTGTCTCCTATCCTCTCCTCCCGCACCATTGAGCAGCCAGGCAAAAACCCTAGCGCTCCTATCCACCGAGACTACGAACTACGTAGTCGAGGCCCCGCTGTCTTGGGCACTGAGGCCCTTGACAACTTGGTATCAGGTTCCAGGCGATCCTCCTCCTCGTCCACGCTCCATCTGCCGGCCGCTTTCCCCCCTGTGTCCGCGCCCAGCTCCCCGACATCGCCACAATCCGCTGCCACCTCGGTCACTTCCGGCATGGCAGAACCGACCACCGCGGATCTGGCTAAGATGATCGAGGCCTTGACGGCCACGGTGATGTCCCTGCAGTCGTCCGTCACCGCACTCCAGAAGGACAAGTCCTCCTCTTCATCCAGCGCTGCCGCCGCCCATGATGGGCAGCACCACAATGATCGGCCGCCCAGGTTCCAGAAGATGGACTTCCCCAAGTTCGACGGCAAGTCTGATCCGCTCGCCTTCATCAACAGATGCGAGTCCTTCTTCCATCAACAACGGATCGCCGAGGAGGAGAAGGTGTGGATGGCGTCCTACAATCTCGAGGGTCCTGCCCAACTTTGGTATATGCAGGTCCAGCGCGACGAGGGCACACCTCCGTGGCGCCGCTTCTACGAGCTGCTCAATCTCCGCTTCGGGCCACCGCTGCGCGCTAACCCGCTGGGCGAACTAATGGCGTGCAAACGCACGACGTCCGTCGTCGACTTCCAGGAGCGGTTTGAGGCACTCCTTCCCCGGGCAGGCACCTTATCC